GGGACGGGATCCGCCGTTGTTGCCGGAGCAGCTGCAAATCGTTGTGGCTGCACCTACCCTTGATTGCGCTGCCGACCATGTGATCCAGCCGACCCAACCTGAGCATGTTGACGATATCCTCAAACCCATGGCGAAGCTGGGTGTAGGCAAGCCTGCCTACAGTATGTCGCAACTAGTGCAGTTCATGCTTCTGAGTCTTGGCCGCACATGTGAACTTGAACGTCGACTTGCACCAAATGCCCTCATGGAAAGATTTTCCTGCTACTGAGGGGTGTACACCTTCGAAGTTCTGAAGCTTTCAGACCAGTTCTACGAGCTGCTTGGTCCATCTGCTGTGGACGGCCGGTGGGAATGTCGGCATCTAGGCAGTTGTTTGGCCGTGAGTCTGCTTAAGTATGTTGTCTTCCAGTGTGCGCCGGATGATCTCGGTTGAGGAGCCGGCGCAGAAAATTACAGGCCCGGGCGGGGCAACCTTTTCACGTGCACGCCAGCGACTGGATGCACTGCTCATGATGTCCAGACGTCTACATTGGCGTGAGAGTGGTTTTGGAAACCATTTCGTAGCGCTGGGATGCTAGACCCGTTAGACATCTTCCAGTGTATTTATTTATGATACTTTACGTGAGTGCCTGGCCTGCTCGGCCTGCTCCCACGTTTGCATTTCCAAAGACTTTCTCGCACTTGTCGAGTGTACCCTGTCTACCAAGGATATGATTCATCAGAGAGACGGAAAGACTTTTTGCTGGTGCAAGAGTTCACCTGCAGGCCAGGTTGTTGTCGAGTTTTTGGAACTCTAGAACGATGATATTTCTGCGCGAGCTGCACAGGACACAAGACGCAGTGGCAAGATACATCTACGATGTTCGGCAAGACCCGTATATGCAGCAGCTTCAGTTGGAAGATTGCGGGCCTGAGCTCGAAGGCATGATGGAGCCACCAACGCTGGAAGTTCAGTGCCGTGCGCTACCAGTCGCTTCGATTGGCAAAGGCCAGCATGAACCCTAAACCCTAAACCCTAAACGGCCCTAAACCCTAAACCCAATGGCAGCAGAAGACATCGCCTGTCCTTCTTGACATGACTCCCCGAGTTGTCCAGGAGCTGCGTCTTTCGCCAACAAACTGGATGCGGTGATTTTCGCCGTTCTTCTTGAGGTTGGTTGGTCCGAAAGACCGCTGGATAATTTCGACGCCTACAGCAAACAGGTGGTGAGCGCATGTTCGGATCAAGGACATGCGTGAGTGTGCTTCCTTCACGCTGTTTGTTTTCCGGAGATGCATCCGAACCTCAGAGAATCCGCGCTTGCAGAGCTGTTTGTGTTCCAACCCCCGCCCCGCCCTCCCCCCCTCCCCCACCCCACCACCCACCCACCCCCCACCACCCACCCACCCCCCCAAACCAACCCACCCACCCGCTCACCCGTAGTTGGGTGCGACAGGAGTGGAGCATGACATCGCAACGGCGCCGGCAATCGATCTAGCAGCGTTGCACAGGGAGAATGCTGCCAACCTTGGTTCCCGCAGCGCTTTGGCGCAGATTGTGGGCGACGACGAAGACGATGCGTGCAATTTCTTGATTCAGGATCTGGTAGACCCGCAGGCTGAGGAAACGAGACTTGCCAAGATCTATGCAGAGGATGAGAAGGCTAGGCATGCACGGCTTTACCCAAATGCCTGGCAGACGTCAGATTTAAAACACGTGGTTGACAATTTGTTACACGAGTCCCTTGACTCGATGCAAACGCTGCTTGTCCACCGAATTTATCAGAATTTGAAGTCTCAGGTTGCATATCCTGGTTATGGGCTAGAGTTGGATACTGAAGATCATGCCATTGTCAGGTGGGCAAGCACACTGACTGGACTTCGTGCCCTCGAAAGGCTCTTGAGGCCACCAACAATGCGTGACCGGTATCGTGCATGTTGTGTTCGCAACGAAGAGGATGCGAAGCCACTGGCGACGTGGAGCCACACCCTTGCATCTCTACGTTGGGAAGCTCTAGTTGACTTCACCCGAGATCTCCTCCTCTTGGAGCCCCTCATTCGACGCACGTGGAACAAACAGTGGTTCATGCAGGGGCTCCACAGTACCGGGCACAGGGAATGGAGGTGTGACAAGTCCAGTGACCATGGCGCTCCAACGGTGCAGGCGATCGACGACGCAATTCGTTCGCCAGCATTTTGGTCCGGAGTGGCAATCATCCATGACATATCCTACGAAGCCGAGTATGTAGGACGTTGGGCGGAGCAGTGTTCGTGCTGCGCATCAGGCACAGGCGCAGGCGGCCCAGACCCCGACCGCATTGCCATTGCAGATGATGGTGAACGTAAGAGGAGGCCTAGGAGACAGCGGCATCCTGGCAGGGTAGCTTGTCCCTATGCTGGGTGTAGAGCGCCGGAGCTGGCTGCAGGCGACTGGATTCCGGAGCTGAAGAGAGTGATGAACATGGGGCGTGGCAGATTGACGGAGTTCCTCGTCATGTCACGCGCGGAAGATCGCTCGCAATTCCATGCAGATTGGGTGCAAGCACGCAGCAAGTTGTGGGCAGGTATTCAAGTCAAGCTTGCGTACTATCAACAGTTGCCCTGGCGCTTGTGACGCTTTGCTGCTCAAGTGCATAGTTATAACTATAACTAACATTGATGCTCACACGGCACGGCTGACTTTTCGTCAAGGGGACAGTTTTCATGCCATGCTTGAAGCATTGTACCCAAGTCCGAAGCATTGTACTTTCTCGTATCACGGGCGGGTGGGCACCTGTCGCTGACCATTGCTTGGCCCAGGTGCACTGAGTCATACAAACCCTACGCAGGTTTGTATGGCTGCGAAGGATTGCCTCAGACTCTGGCAAGAGGGCGGGCGTGGCACTTTGCACACTCAATCGCAGCGCTTCCTGAGTCCAGCTTGGAATGGGTTGACCGCTGCTGATGTGACCGCGGGCACAGACCCAGCACTCAGAAGATTCGTCGTGCGATTGAGTGAAGGCGAATCTATCGTTCAGATTTACGATTCAAGCCCGGACTCGGACTCGAAGGATGTGTGCTCCCTCCTTCGATGGCTCGCAGCGATGCGACACGTGCCTGCCACCGCAAGAAACAATTCGTTTTCACGCAGCAGACTTTGCAGTCTGTTGCAGTCGGTGCCAGCTAGTGCCAGCCAGCTCAGGTACGCGTGGTGACGAGATCCGTGGAAGGCTTACACAGCCAAATTAGCCGAATCATCAAGAGAAGCCCGGCGTGCAAAATTCCATACATCAGCTTTGAACTGAGAGCAAAACAGCTCGCAGATCTTGCTATGTTTAATCCTGCCGCAGCTTGTCTGAAGAGTGGCTTAGGGGGGGGTGTTTTTTTTTGGGTGAGGAATCACAGGAAGTTTTGGTTTTGATTTTCCGCAGCCCAGGCATTGCGCCAACTAGAAAGAGATCCGCTCATGGCTGGTGCAGTACGACTGAAAGGCTTTCGCAAGCTTGTGCTGTCCAGGACTTGGTAGCCATTGTAGTATAGGGGTTTCGGCCCTCGGCTGTTAGCGTCGGAGACACCAGCGCAGCGCACTGCTGAGGCAACTCTTGCACCTGGAGCCCAGTGACTACACCGCTAAGATGAATGCAACCCAGCTGTCGGCACTGCTGTACCGAGACCATGATGTCCTGAAGCATTCTGACCGTGAGAGGCTTCAGCAAGAGCTGGATGCAGCGAAAATGGTTGAATCCACAAACTTCGAAATTGCGGACCAGAGGGCCGGCAAGGCTCCCCAGGCCATCAATTCCGGCCAAGGACTGGAACCTTTGTTGAACGCATTGCTTACGCATCTACCACATGATGCTTGGCGCAAATTTGGTTGCCTTCCTTGGCTGCGCCGCACCCAGCGCATGCAAGAGACTGCCTAAACGGCCCAGGTTGCGGGCAGAGACCATGTCGTCTTCGCCATGCCAGTGGCTTTGCTGGGGCAGGCGTTGCAGTCCTGGCAGCATCTGGTGGGGCCCAGCACCCAAGCCTTGCAAGATGCAGAGCGGACCACAGAACAAACTTTCGATGAGCCGGAAGTGCAGCTGCAACTCGCCGTGCCGACTCTGCAGGGGCCGGGTTGCGAGATAATTCCAGCGCGGCACTTGTTCCACGAACCTTCTAGCAGTATTCGTTGTCCTGGTAGTGCGGCAAACCTGCCTGCGCCACCTGTGCAGAGCAGCCTTTTCTTCTTCAGGATAGTGGGCGGCAACATGAGCAGGCATACGCTCAACGGGGACCCTTTGCGTCCCTTTGATTTCACGGTCCAGAAGTATGTTGCCGTGGGGCCTGCAGAGGCAGAGGCCAGTGGTCAGTACTTGGCGCCACAAGGGGCTCCAATGGCATTAAGCCTGCAGCACCTCAAGTTCGATGATTTGGCGAGCAACTTATCTGTGTGGAAACAAGGCAACCGAGTGATGATGGCGCCTGCTCGTGTGGAGCATGTGAGCCTTTGTCTACAGCTAGGCTAAATCATCGTCACAGTCGTCGTCACATTGTGAAGTTATTCTGCCCTAATCCTACCCACCCCTGCGACCATAGGCGATTCCTGAAACCCTGAGAGAACGGATAGGCCATGCCGCCATGCTCAGGAGCCCGGCAGCTGTGCAGCTTCTGTCGGAGCTACTCGAAGCCGGAGCAACAGAAGCGGCAACCCAGAATCATGTTTTCATTCAGGACGATGATCACGAACAAAGTTTTGCAGAGCTGCGCGCGTCGGGGCTGGCCACATGGGCCGATGAAACTTCGGGCCGCATCGCTGCTACACGGAAAGCTGCTAGTTGCGCAGGGATTGCGCAGCTATACCACGGCCCCTCAGAGGTCTGCGAGTATGTGGCCAGCTGCCAAGAAGGGCAAGACACGGAAACTAGCGACAGCACGAGCACAGTGTTTGATCTCTTGATCAGGCTATTGCGAGACGGGTGGAAGGAAAGAGGGCTTGCGACGAAGGGGGGTCGGCGCCCGCCTCCTCCTTACACCCAGGGAGGTGAACGCATACTTGTTTATCACACCGGTTCTCAGAACATCGGGCGGCTCTATCTGGAGTGCCTCTGCAGTGCAGACGAGCTGTTCGAGAAGGGAATCAAAGAAATACACCACTTTCAAACGGAAATGTACTATCGCACGCTGATGGAGTGTGAACCACATCAATCCGCGAGTGTCCGACCCCATCAGAAGGTTGCTGTGTACAGGGAATTACTAGGCATGAAGCCACGCGCTGGACGTGGCAGTTTGCTTGCTGCTATCGGAGATGATGCAGGCGTGAGTTTTTCTGCGCAGGTGCATCAGCTGCTTTGTTTTGGCATTCCCGCTCTTCAGGTGAGATAAACCTGTTGTTCGATGGCAACAGTGAACATGCCCGCGGCCGCGGCCGTGGCCGTGGTCGTGGTGGAGGCAAAAAGAGGAAAAGATCTGTTGATCGTGAGCCGCTTGAAATCCTTGGCAGCTTGGCTGTGAGTGAGCTGCCCGTGTTTCCTGCGGTGCCTGTCAATCTTTGTGGGTCGACGACGTGGGCTTGCGGCTTGCGGGCCTAAGATCAGCCGGCGATGGCAGACTCGGCAGATGGCGACGTGAACGGTGAGACTACGGATGCAGACGATGGGCCTGCCGTGCCAACTTATCGTAACCTGACTGCCCGAGCTCGTCATGAGTCATGAGTTCCGAGTGTGTCAAGCTCAACTCAGGTGATGATGAGGCAGATGAGGCTGAGGATCACGAATCTGTGGACCGCAGCAACGCGGCTCTGTGAAGGGACTGGTCCTGCGGCCTGTGGCAGCCTTTGATACTCTTGCTTTAATCTCTGAGGTGTTCCAGCAGGCGTCCTCGATGCCGAGGTAGCCGGCACGGCAGAACGAGTCTTTGCTTGGACAGTGCTTCCGTCCGACTGCACTTACCTTTGTCGGGTGGGTTGGCTTTAGGATGAGGATGCTTGCTCTGGGTGTCAAGCTCAACTCAGGTGATGATGAGGCAGATCAGGCTGAGGATCACGAATCTGTGAGCCACAGCAACGCGGCTCTGTGAAGGGGCTGGTCCTGCGGCCTGTGGCAGCCTTTGATACTCTTGCTTTAATCTCTGAGGTGTTCCAGCAGGCGTCCTCGATGCCGAGGTAGCCGGCACGGCAGAACGAGTCTTTGCTTGGACAGTGCTTCCGTCCGACTGCACTTACGTTTGTCGGGTGGGTTGGCTTTAGGATGAGGATGCTTGCTCCGGGTCTCAAGCTCAACTCAGGTGATGATGAGGCAGATGAGGCTGAGGATCACGAATCTGTGAGCCACAGCAACGCGGCTCTGTGAAGGGGCTGGTCCTGCGGCCTGTGGCAGCCTTTGATACTCTTGCTTTAATCTCTGAGGTGTTCCAGCAGGCGTCCTCGATGCCGAGGTAGCCGGCACGGCAGAACGAATCTTGGCTTGGACAGTGCTTCCGTCCGACTGCACTTACCTTTGTCGGGTGGGTTGGCTTGTTGATGAGGATGTTTGCTGGGACTGCTTTTGCCCTTGCTGCACATGTTGCTGCGTTGCTTGCTTGATCAGAAAGAGTTGTTGAAGCAGGTATCGAGCGCGAGCCTGAAGACTCGGACGTGGAAGAGAAGACGCCGTCGACGCCTGCTTCTCTGCGTTTAGAGATGCAACAGGCGATACTGCAACTGGGATCTTCCAATTCCGACATTGGCGCCAGTGGTGCGTCAAGTTCATCGGGATCAGAGGAGTCAGACAATCGAGATGAGTCAAACCAGTCAGAGTCACAAGACTCAGATCCCGAAGAACGGCCTCGACGTCGTCGCAGGGCACGTCCTGTCCAAGCTGAGCTGGCGATTCCTCGTGAGCCTGGGCCTCCCAGTTCTGTCTACGACCCCAGTACCATATTCGTAGGCGCTTTCGCCATTGTCAAGCGCCACATCTCTGGTGTGCCTTCTTACTTCGTGCAGTGTCCACTGCACGCGCATGGGCACGGGGCAGACATGAAACGCTGTGTCAAGAGTATGCAGTGCAATCAACCGAACGAATCAGTGGTGATAACACGACTTCTCTGGTGGGTATATCAAGGCTGCTTGGTTGTAACTTGATGTACCTGGGTGTCGGTGTCCAGCGTAGAGTCTGTGTAGAGTGTTGCCAGCAGTCGTGTTGCAGCGGCTTGTACCAGGCACGCGCATGATCAGAGCTCCAGATGAAGACGACGAATCACTTCGGCGACGACATGTTCACATGGTCCACTGTTGTTATAAGACGTGTACACACTGTCCGGTCATTGTTCGATGCTGTATCGTCACTCTGAAGTGCCAATACCAGCAGTCTGATCTCAAGCTATTGCTGAGGTGCCACCTCGAACGATGGCAGAATTGGGGGATCGTGCAGAGCTCGAGAACCAGATCACGCACTACTGCCAACTTCACAACCTTCAGCGGCTTGCTTCCTAGGCTGGAGCCCTCCGCCGCATACTGCCATACTACCCACACGGGACCCACACCCTCAACAGACCATTCACTAGTCACCAGTCACCAGTCAACTTGTGAAACTGTAATTAAGCGCCGAAGTCCTCAACTGCACCACCCTCTAGCGTTTGCATCTTTGTATTCAAGTCCAAAACGAATTCTTGTAACTCTTGCAGAAAAAAGTCTCCATTGCCCAGGCATATCAAAGCAGCAGTCGAAACCCGACAGAAAGATTCAACCGACCATGACTTTAAGACAGTTCTGATAAGCGAAAGACCTTGACGGCAGCCCTGACGAAGGATCCGTTAGGCTTTAAGCTTTTGTTCTGTTTATCAACATTGTTAGGGCCGATGCTTATATCATTCCACAACTTCTTGGTTCTGCGTTGTTGAAGCACATAGATCTTCACGTCAGTGTGCATGCACAGGGTCATTCGCTTTTGTATAGAGCGTATATGGTCCCCAATAAGGGGACTTTAGGGTCTAATAGAGGGTAGATGGACCCAGACCTTCCAATATCCCCTAATTAAGGAATATACCTTGAAATTATAATAGGATCCCTAATATGATTCAGGGTATAGTCCTTACTTAAGGGATTTTGGAAGGTCTGGGGAGGGTCTAGGCTTATTCAATCGACTCCATGGTGATATACAGTCTCAATGAGATGGCCATGAAGGGATCCCTGCGCCAATCGGAGTTTAGTGTAAGTATAACTCGTATATTATGTATATCGGTTTTCCTGTCTGTTAGGTCCTTACACGCTGACACCCTAGACTGGCCCCACACCCTAAAAGCCGTCTAAAAGGCTCTTAATGTTGACGGTAGTTTTAACAGACTCCTCACTGCAGGCAGGCGTGGACAGCAGCGATGTGCACGCGGCCCGCGGCTGAGTTTTGAGAGGAACGTGGGGTACGGCATGGGGTTTAGGGGTCAATTGGGGGTTTTCTTAAAGGCTCATGGGACTTGGTAAGTAAGGCTGCAAGTAGGTTATAATTAGGATAGCCCCCACTTATGGGACTTATACCCCCCATTATAAAACCTACTTACCAAGTCCCATTATCCTTTAAGTCAGGGAGTTGGGGTTTGGGGTTTTGAGGTCTGGTGCCCTCTATACCCAGAGAGCCCACTATCCCATAATTGAGGAATATTCCTTAAATCATATCAGGGATCCTGCTATAATGTAAGGTATATTCCTTAAACTAAGGGATATTGGCTCTCTAGCTAAGGAACTTCGACCATGCTAGCCTGTAAAGCTCAGTCTTAACTTGCTGCGCACCTGCACATTCTAAAATTCTGAATCTTGAAAATTACACGCACCCTGAAGCCTCTAAACGCTCATAGCCGACCCAACCAACAGCCCCTGAACCTGGAGTGTTTGTCCAATTCCCGCAAGAATACAAGGCTTCGGGTTAAGGGTTTAGGGTTTCGGGGTTTATTGTTTGGAGTTTGGAGTAGTTTGTGGCGGCGGTGTAAGGTCAAAGAGCGAACCTTACTGCCCTCTATGTACTGTCAACCCAAAACCTTAAACCCTGAACCCTTTACCCTCAAACCTGAAACCCCTAAACACCTAAACTCTTAACCCTGAACCCTAAACCGTTAACCCTGAACCCTAAACCTTGAAACCCCTGAACCCTAAACACTTAACCCCTAAACCTTAGACCCTTAACCCTGAACCCTAAGCCCTGAACCCTAAAGCCTGAAACCTCATAGTGGTCAGCTGCACTGTGAGGTCAAAGAGCTGACGATCTTGCGAACCGTGCGGCTCACCAGGTCGGTTAAGGGCTTAGGGTTTAGGAGTTTAGCGATTACAGTACGTAGAAGCCAGAAAGTTGGAATATCATTATCGTAACCCGTTTAAGGTAAATTATAGGGGATCCTGCCATTATTCCATAGTCCAACTTTCTGGAGTTCCCTGTAAGGGAGTTCAAGGGCCTAGGGTTGAGGAGTTTAGGAGTTATGGGGTTTGGGAGTTTAGGGATTATAGGGTTTAGGGTTTTCAACCGTGGGTATATCGAGGCATATAGGATTTAAGGCTTTTTCAAGCAATGCTGTCGGAAATATTACTAGGAGTCCGGCTTTTCTGTGGTGAGTTCGGGAGGGGTGTGCCATTATGTAATCAGGGGTCTGCATTAGGCTTTTGGTCGAACTCGTGTGTTGGGGTTCGTACGCTAAGGTTTTGCTTGACCCTACTTACATTTTGAAATTTGTGTGGCTTCTGTTTCGTTTCAATCAGGATCTCCAGCTCTCGATGGCTGGCCATCGGAAGCTTCAGGAAATGGGCCGTCCGTGTATGATGTACTTAACAGTGTTGTTCGGACTGGGCCTGGCGGGGTGCAATGTAGGGGCCTAAATAATTACCTATACTATTTTTCTCCTTACTATAAGATATAGTATTACAATGTACCCCAAACCCCTAATCTAACTATGAAGGCTCCTATAGCGCGTGGATCTTTCATGGACGGCTCCCTTGAAGCCCAGCATGCACCCTTATAAAACACGTAAAACTGTTGGGAAAGGCGTAAAAACCCCTTGCGACAACCTGCTTGGAGAGCCGAGACTTAGTAAGTAAGTAGGTAGTACAGTATGTAGAGCTCTACTGAATGACTCCTTTCCCCAAGTACCTGAAATCCACACGCAGGCTGGATCGCATCGCGCGGATCCTCCGGGCGGTGCCGGAGGTGGTGACACTGCTCAAGGCCCAACAGGGGCCATATGGTCGTTGGGGGATTCAAGGGTTTTGGGCTTTGCTGTGGTTTAGCACCCAGGTGGTTGCTGGACTGTTGGTTTGTGCCTAATACTACCTACTATGTGTACTGTGTAGCGCAATAGGGATCCCTATATACGGCTAATACAGCGCCTTTAACACATAAACTCCAAGTACAGAGATCGCCGACCTATGTAAGTTACACGGTAAGGTAGCGATTTGGGGTTTAAAGTTTGGGGTTGTGTTCGACGGTGACGACTTCGTGCAAATCCCAAGACAGCCTTGGAAGAGGGCTCCGCGTAGCCCTACACCCTGATACCCCTCTAAAGCCATACATCTGCATAAATACCAATACATGTATATATGATGAATGATGGTTTGTGCCGCAATGGGGTTTTAGGGTACGTAGTGTTCGTGGTGCTTAGGGTTTAGGCTCAGGATATAGTTTTGTTGCTACATCGTGTTGTAGCGAGGGTTACCGGTCAAGTGAAGTTTCGGGATCTAGGTTGGGTCGGTTTGTTGTGTAACGGAGTTTAGTAGTCTAGGTCGGGCTGAGGATTTTGGGGTTAAGCAGGGTCGAAAGGGTTGCTTGCTGGTGGAACGAGAATTAAGGGAATTAAGGGTGCTTGGTTTCAATGGGTTCTAGTTCTAGTATTAGGGTTAAGAACTTCTTTGTGTGTCTTTTTACGGTGTACTTCGTGCTCAGGATTCAGGATTTAAGGAAGATTTGGTTTTACTATGCAGCGAGGGTTGAGGTTAAATGGTGTCAGTGGGGTAAAGGGTTTACGGTATGTGTGGTGCTTGGGGTCTCCGTCGGGATGCTTTGTGGTGTAGAGGGTTCAAAGAGTGTGGGGTGCATGGCGTTAGTTGGGTGGGGAAGGGTCAAGGTGCAGTGGGGTGGGGTGATAATTGTAGTTTCGGGTTTAGGTTCGGGCTTAGGGCTTAGGGTTGATACAGAAGTTCTGTAGGTTCGTTCACTAGGATTCCTGATATGATTTGCATAACCGCTCAATGTGTCGCAATCTGTCAGAGTTCTGAGGCTCGTGCGGTTTGGGGTTAAGGCGGCTTCCATTCAGGATTATACGGTGTGAAGCTTCAGATTGAGATTGCTGATTTCCTTTGCAGATGCTCCTATCTGCTGAAAACTCGGTCCTTGGATTCTTGGGTAACTGTCTGAGTATTCCGAGTCCTATGTGCCTGCGCTTCGTTCTACAAAACCCACGGAACCTGAAAGTTGCTTCGTTTAGGGTATAGGGTTTAGGGTGTAGGGTTTAGGGTAAGGGCTTCTTGCAACCTCTCGTTGGTTTTCAAGCTGCAGCCAACAGAAGGCTGCAATTGCTCAGGGCAAGCACTCGCCATGTATGAAACCCATTGACACTCAGGTAAATAATGCGGATAGATTGCAGAACTCCCAATCTTCTACCCTAAACAGCTGCGGCCTGAGGCCATTCTGTGCCGAAGGCACCCGTGGCAGGCATCAGGCACTGCAGCTTGCGGAGCCCAGAAAAATACGTGCCGGAGCTAACATGTCAGCGAGAGAGAGCTTGTTGGCACGATTCCAAGTAGTATCCGTGTCTTGTCCGAGGTCAGAGTTGTCAGGAGCGTGTTACAGTGTGCGGTGGCACATCCGCAGATCGACATCAGTGACATCAGCACAAGTCGAGGTATTCTCGCACTAGGCCACTAGGCTGCCCAAGACTTTGTGCCCGAACTGGACCAAATTAATCTTTGTCTCTCTTCTTTTCAATCTTGTCTCACTGCGACCTGGATATGGTGCCATGGTGCCTGCGTTTGACATGCGTACTCTGATGTTTTCCATTGTGACAGTGTCAGGATTCAGGATTTGTGACTTTCATTGTCGGGGCTGCGGCCTGGCGGTAAATAGTAGTTTTTTTTGGGGTGGGCAAAGGCGGCAACACAAATAGTAAAGTAGTTTCGGGAGCGCGCGGACGCCGCATGCGAGCATCAGTGGCACGACTTTTTTGTTTCATTTTTTTTTCCAGCAGATTTTTTTTATAAAAAAAATCTTTTTTTTATTTTTTGGTTTCAATTTTTTTTCCAGCAGATTTTTTTTATAAAAAAAATCTTTTTTTTATTTTTTTTTTTCAGCAGATTTTTTTTATAAAAAAAATCTTTTTTTTATTTTTTGTTTCATTTTTTTTTGCAGCAGATTTTTTTTATAAAAAAAATCTTTTTTTTATTTTTTTTTTCCAGCAAATTTTTTTATAAAAAAAATCTTTTTTATTTTTTTTCAATTTTTTCAGCAAAAAAACCAGCAGATT